TTATATTACACACATCTCACACCAATACACAAGTAAACACATTTTATAAACAATGTTCTCTCTCATATTGCAATTAATTAACAATTAGATTAACACTATATACATATATATGTATATAGTGTACATTGCATGTGCGAGCAAATGTACCGTGTACGCATCAACACATCAGCATATCACAACACATGATTTGATGTTATTTGAACAATTGCTCAATGGCTGTAAATTTCTAGTCATTTACTGTAAGCACATAATGTATCCATCACGAATTCCTTTTGTTTTAATCTTTTCTCCTTTCGACTTTGCTTGTTCTTAGGTTTGAATACTTCATGGTAATTAAATAAACAAGATCTCTTCTTGTAGCAAATGTTGTTGATGAAAATTGACAAAGTAAATTATATCACAAGAAAATGTAGTTATAACGATAACTAGAGGACTCTGCAATATTTCAAAACGACTTAAAAACCAAAAAAAAAAAGAAAAAGCAAGTTGTGTTCGCCCTAAGGAAAAGATTTGATACTCGTTGCCTTCAACGAATGCAAATAACTTTGAAAGTATTTTAGTAGTTTTTATAAAATTATTGAAACTTTTAGGCCAACCAGCTGCTCCCCTTTTTGTTGCTTATTATGAACGTAACAGTGGACTTAGTTATGAACATTTAAGTTTTTTAAACACTTTGATAAATATTCTTATCAAGTCTTGGATTAACATCACCATGTAGAGAACTACAGGGGCATTTCCAAGTTGAGTGTCCCACATAAATTGTTTGAGCATATAGTCATCCAGCATCTAGCTTTTGTCATCAAATCATATACTTCTCTTTCCAGCATGGCTTTCGGAAAAGAGGATCTGCAGCCTCGAGTCTATTAGAGCTCACTTCCCAGGCGTCGATGGCTTTCACTGGTGGCGCTCGCACAGACGTCATATCCACTGACTTTAATAAAGCATTTGAGCTGGTTAACCATAACTTACTGATCTTTAAACTCCAGGCCTCGATTTTTCCCGCCCAATTAGTGAAATGGATAAGATCATTCAGGATTGTGTTTAATAGCATTTCCTCGAATGAATTCCTGGTGACGTCGGATGTACCGCAAGGAAGCCATTTTGTAGCCATATTATTCAATTTATACCTTAATAACTTGCCATCGGTGATCAAATCAAGTCAGATATTAATGTATGCTGATGATGTTAAGCTGTTTAACTCATTTTTCTCGGAGTTGGATTCGCGCCAGCTTCAAAATGATCTAAATAATTTAGTCGCATGGTAGTCGGTAAACTTTATGAAACTAAGTCTAAATAAATTGAACAAAGTGTCGTTCGGTGTATTTAATTGATTCACACAACTTAGAAGGTGTTGAGTCGTACATGGATTTGGAAGTGCTATTTGACCAAAGATTACGGTTTAATTTGCATATTGAGCTTTCTTTAACTAAAGCTAGATCAATGCTTGGTTTTATTAAGCGTTGATCCAATAAGATAAGAGATCCGTACATGACAAAAAGACTATACACGGGCTTAGCGATCGTAAATATTCCAACAACAGATGTCATACAACAATGGACGAATAGACGGACTAAATCGAGCCACAATCTTACTTTAAAGACCATCTGATACATACTTCGTAAAGCTTAAGTCTTTTGTAGAATAAATTAACCTTTCGATATAGTTGGCGATAAACAATAAATTTTATATTTAAAAATAAAATCACGCCTGAACGTAGGCAGCTGATAAAAAGGTGTTAACAAAAATGGCATATAATTAGAGGTAGATAATGAATACAAACAATATAAAATGTCGGAATATCTTTTACAATATAAGGTTTACTTACAAATCGATCCGGCTGAGTGGCCGAGTAGGCAAGAGTCTCGACTAGCTATCTCAAGTGCGGTAGAGTTTTTAATAAAAGCCGAAAGCCTTAGATGCTAGTGCTTTAAGACAAAAGTCTTAGAATTTATTCTCTGGCTAAGTTTGTAATAATAATAATAATAATACTTAGAAATCGCACACATACATGTTTGTTAAAGTATTCTCTTGTTCCTTATATATAAAACAGAAAAGCCTCAACGTCTGCAATTGCACGATTCTTAACACTAAAACAGCTCGATAATTCGTCTTTATTGATCACACACTAATTATTACGTGAACGAACCCTCGTAACACCTTATTTTAAATAGTACATTTTATTAAAAAAAAAATAGCGGAAATAGTTTATGTGAAAAGGCAAAACTTTCACTTATATTGCAAGAAACATTATATAACAATTGTACAACAGAGCACTAGAATTTTCTTTAGATTGATTTATTCTGGCTAGCAACTGTTTATGTCACACTTTAGGGATGGAACTTTAAACTCATATCATGCAAATTTGTCATGCAGTTGTCTTGATTATATTAATCGCACCCGAATTCTACTTCCGAAGTTTTGCTCAGAAATTAAAGCTCTTTGCGTATTATCGGCAACACACATATTCTTGCACTGAGATTTGAATGGTCAAACTTTAGATAATGAACCTTTTTAGCGAGGAAGTCGATTTTGAAGTTAGACTAGGAACTACGAGTTGAACTTGCAGGGATAACCCCAACTCAAAGTATTTCACGTTTCAATGGGTAGCACCAGAAATATATGTGCTGCTGTATTTGCTTTGCTTGCTGGGTATATTGCAATGAGGTTAACAGTCCGAAAAAGTAACAGTTCAACTGTCTTTCTTTTCTTGAAAATAAATAAAAAGCAACCCTCATCGTCCGACGGAGCATGAAAATAATTTGAGAGATATTCATAAACTGAACTTCTATGATAAGATAGAAGGAAACTAGAGAGAAATGCATGGCTGGCCTTTTTATTTCCTGAAATACGAATAAGCATGCCTACATGCAAGGTATTTGGGGAACAACTAAAGCCGTGTGTAAACTTTTTTCGTTGGTTTTGTTTTTATGCGTTTATTATAATTTTTGTTAGTGCTTTATCAATGTAAATAAAATTTATTTAAGTTTTCCTATTACATAAACGTAATGCAAAACGTTACATTGAAAGCATAAATTAAATGTCGGAAAACTTGCATTTTTTCTATAAAAATTACATTATCTTCATAAATAATTAAATCTGCACATAGTACGGCATTTCCGAAATGTGTTAACTACAATCAGTTAATGAACGTTAAAAAGAAATGCGCGGACTAATGACAAAAGAGAACAGCCGAAAAAACTTTACCTGTCGCATATATTAATATATTATTTAATCATACCTTGAGGAAAGTTTACCCGTATGTAAACAACAAGTTATGTTAAATTAGATACGACAATGAAAATTATTGCTAATTAACCGGCAAGTATATATCGAATTATGTATGATATGCATGAAAATAATGTATTAACTAAAACGTTTGAACTTAGTAAGCTTCGTGTTGGAATGACTTTCCAAAATTAGGAACAACAGTTTACAATAGAATATTAAACAGTTTCTGCACGAACTCAACAATTATAATAAAAGAAAAATTGCTACGGCTGTTTCTCCCCTCTCTTAACCAGAAAATGAAGAGAATTGAAGAGGTGACTGGTCTTGAGTGTTTTTTGGTTATCGTCATAAGAATTAAAACCCGGCCCGGACATATGATGAATCGTCGATAGAAATCTGTATGATCCAAAAGTAGTAACGTCAGTTCAGGGTCAGTTCAGTATTTTCTGAACAGGTTTTCTCTTATCGAGCCGAACGTCATTATGCTGACAAATCACTATATCACGGTTTTTGACAAATTGCTCCAGTTTTTTTGGTTGCGATTAGTCGCGCTCATTAATACTGACTTCGTTCCGTTGCAAAATGTGCGTTTGAATTTGCCGGCGATTTTAATATACCGTCTAGTCTTCCAGCGCTATCCCCCAAGTTAAACAGATATAGTCCACTTTCTGTCAAAAAAAATTTTTGTGGAACACCATTCAATCCATTCAAAGCTAGAGAAAGAGAATATTGCATTCACGTAGAAAATTCGCAATTCTATTTCGGCTCCTTTAGCGATAGAAAAGCGTAAGAATCTTTTCGTACATAATACGTAATAATTTGTTGCTTACATTGGGGAGAGGGTTTTAGCGACGTATTCAAATGCAATGTTTGCTGAGAATCGAAAGCAATGCTTAACATATATAATAAGCATTTTTTTACCCAAAATTATCTCTGCAACGCAATAAGCTTTGGTTGAAAAAATAAAATCAATAATTTAAAAAAATGCAGGAAAATTTATTTTAATGCACTAATTAGCCAATTATTGCCCATATTTAACATGAAATTTTTTTCGCTTATAGTAGTCGAAAGTCAAAAAAAGAAATCGAATAAATAAATGAACGACTGCGACACCCTTGGATGAATCATTGCGCTTTAATGAGAGAAAACAATTATTTGAAATGTTTAAGAATTCATTCCATTTACTCTGAAACTTTTTTAGTATAAAAAGTAAATTATTATTTATTGAACATTTGAACACAATAGCACAGACGCACAAAGTAATCGTGTATCTGAGTGAAAACATTGTATACATTGGCTAATGTGTTTTGCATGGCATGAATTTTTTGTTTAGCCATTTGCTTCTCAATGCAATACAATCACGAACTTATGCATATATTTGAATATCAACCATACCTCCCTAACTTATACTGGACACATACAAGTGCATGAACTGCGACGTCAGGCTTTGTAAAGTACATTTATTTTGCACAAAACTTCATATATGATAACACGATTAAGGTATATCATAAATCGAAATGACAAATATCTTAAATAAAAATTAAAAATATATTAAATAATCAAAAAATAGAAATCAATCAATGATTAATGGTTTAAAAATAGTGTCTTGTGCAGTCAACGAGCAAATGAAAAATGCTGGAACTAAATATTACACGCACACTCTTAAGTAGAATAACGTAGCCTCTTAAAATAACTGTCTATGAGTACGTTTTACAAGTGAGATTATTATAGAGATTATTCGTAAAAGAAAGACAAAAAAAGGACTAACCAACCTCATATGCGGCATAATTCCAACAACGTTCAACGTGTATCTTCGCTTGGTTAAGACCACGCATCATATCCCATAAAGAGCCTCAACAGAGCCGCTTTCTCCCAACCACGACTTATAGGACTCCGTAGAGATAACTAAACACTAAACTGGCAACCGATTACACTTTGAGGGCAACGCTCTAACGACATCACGTAGATTTATGATAAGTTATTAGACCAGCCGTTCGTACCTGTTCTCGATATTAGTAAACTAAGGTGTCCATGCTATTGTTTAAAAGAGAAAAAATACGGGAATCGTGCAGTGATCGCTTTAATTGTAAATATAAATTAAAGAAATACTTAATAAGTAATTTGTGCTTGTTGATTCATTATTCCTTTATGTAGGGAAAGCATTGAAGCCATTGCAGTGGCGGCATTCGCTACTGGCTTGTGCTTGTGTTAGTCGAATGTTTTCGAACGGATGTGGAAAAATGCAAGGTTTATAACGTGATATATCAAGAAGGTAACCTAATATACCATACAATGGTGACAAGTAAACTTTTTCATTGAAATGGTAATTTGACGAGCGACGGTCTTCATAAAGATTCCTTTACTCGATGTTATTCAAAAAGTAATTCCTTGTACATTAGCGTCCATTGTGCATTTTTTAGCTTATCGTAAGAGAAGAGCACTTAAGTGCAGAGACTAAACTTAAAATAGCACATCTTTCTTTCGATTGTATATTGCATACCGACATCAAGCGACAGTGCTACTGCTTCTACTATTACTATTACCACTTCCTAATACCATAGCAGTCTGGCGAGGAGTAGCAGCGAGCAAGCAAGCAAAGCATAAAATTCCAAACGCAATTATCCTCCCCATGATACCAAAAAAATTCGTTTGCAGCATATCTTAAGGGAATTAATCTTGCGATTTGTATTGAATTAAAATAATAAATTGAAGGATGAATATCTATACGTATGCAAATGTTTCAAATACATAAAAAGGAAACCCAAATCAAGAGAAATTTTTAAATTGGTGAATTTCCAAACAGCTTGGAATATTTTCTAAAAGCGACGAACACCGGAAATATGAGCAATAAAATTTATTATTGGCTTTTTAAACAATTTGCTTTGCAATATTATCCATTAGTTTTAATTTCGTACGAGCATTTCAAATTTTTATCAAATTTCGTTGTTTTCGGCTTTTTAAGTAAATAGAATGCAGAGAGAATATCTTTTTACTTAGAAATGCTTTTCACATTATCTATTCGTTGCTCTTGCTCGTAATGAACTATATCTAAACGAGCATTTTCTTCTTTTTTTTAAGGCTTTCCTTTTTTCTTGAGAGAGATTAAAAGTAAAAAAAAATGAATAAGATTTTAACTCTACTAAGCATTTTTAGCATATTTCATCATTTAGCTAATAAATTTTAAAGTATGCTTACTATTTTCTTAGCACACACACATTGTTTGACAACTTGTTGATGATACATTTTAAATTAAAGAAAATTCTTTTCCTGTAGATAAAACCGAAAAGATATTTATTCGGTGTGCAAATAAACAAATAAATTTTGTAATTTGAAATTGGTGACTTCGTAAAACGTGCATGACGCGCTCGTTTTTACCAAAGTCTTGGATATGCATAGCTTAAATGTTGGTGCTTCTAAGGTACATGTTTCGGTTACTTACAAGCTTCCATTCAACGTGCATGAAAGTCAAAAGAAATTTATGCCGTTACGGCACTGTATTTTATTCAGTTTTAAACTGCATCAAATTAAAAAAGAATGCAACTGAACCTACGGATATGATTAAGTTGGCCTAGAATGAAAATGCGATAAGCGATGGCACAATTACAAATTCAATTGGGAAAATTTAATTAAAAATTATAAAACTCGCGTACGTCGATACGTCTTTAGCAAAAGCAGCCCAGGAAGTCAAGAAGTATTTTATGATTCGTTCAGATCTGTTGCTTTCTGGCTAGTACTGGCTCAGATATATTTAGCAGATAATTCTTAGCAAAGCTAAAAATGTGCGATATTGATTCGATACCGGATTAGACTAGGTCTGATTACTAAACTTTCTAACAAATATGTTTTCAATAATGCTGAATATCATCAAAAACGCTTACTTTCAATTTGTACACCTTTTACAAACACACATATGTCAAATAGTTTTAAAAAAAATTGTTTTAAAATGCATTTATTATTCATAACTTAGAGGTACTTATGCAAAGATTAGCAAAAATATCCAAACATTCATTAAAAACTTCTCAGCCAAATGAATTTAAAAGCATACTTTACTAGGATGGCTGGAGAGGAAAAAAAAATCTAAAAGGATAAATTAACTTTTTTAATAAAGCAAGTTAGTTCCCCGTACACTGTTTGCTGCACAGATATCGAGGAGACAGCCATATAACTTGAAGAAGATAAAAAACTCTCTAATGCCATCAAGCCTGTGACATCTGAAGATTAGATGCTCAGCAGACTCAACAACATTGCAAACTTCACAAACATCACATGGTATAGCACGAATCAGCATGTTGAAGGATGTGGCTGCGAATTGCCCGAATTGCTTCATTGGGAGTGTATTTGATGGACAAAATTTTCCCATCAACACGAGCTCTTCCTGCATGAAAGTCGGCTTTTACATTTAAAAAAAAGGCGCAGTGGCCAAGTACCCAAACGGGGTGACAGTCATCCACTTGAGATTCATGCAACATCTTGTGAATATCAAACACATATTGATTCTCTAAATCTCTTTAATTATTAGAAGTAGAGCTGATCTGCTGTCAGAAAAAATAATAAACTTTCTGATACCATCGGAAATAGCAACCTTAATAGCATGTCAAATGGCGAGCAACTCAATAAAAGTTGAGGAAAGTTCCTCCGCCACTTTGACTTGACGTACTGTTTTAGAGAGATGTTTCACGACCGAAAAGCCAGATACATTATGTCCGACGGAATCGTCGGTGGCATATATATCGTCGCCGTTGTTGTAATAAAACATGGCATAACATCCTCATTCAAGAGAAGTTGACATTTTGCTTTGAGGTAGAGATCGATTCGAAAATGTTCATGAAGACTCTGCATTTGCTGGTTATGAAATTCAAGGGAGGAATTGAATCTAACTTATCAAAAATATGACGAAGTTTTTGATAGCAAAAAATATAGCTGCCAGTGACAGTATCACTGAGAGGTATAATTTCCTGAAAAAGGGAAGGATTTGTCATCTTGACTTTAATTAACTCCTTGGCAGTGCAAAAAAGGGCTCTTTCATAAACGGGCCACTCACCAGACATGACATTGAGAATATGTTGAGGAGTTGAGGGAGCAGTCCAGTATAACGCTTCAACATTCGGTTTACAAATGCTTGTATACGTTTCTCAATATATTTTGGGAAATTGCAACATGTGGAATGTTCAAATTCAATTTTGGACCTGACTAGAGATTTGTAAACGGTGAAAGCATTCTTGGGAGGCAAGCTTGCCTGATTGTTTGTCATGAGTTTGATGATGTTGCATCCAGACTGACAATCTTTGAACGCCTTTTCATAATGCCCACGAAGGGTTAAGCTGTCATTTAAAATTCTACCAAGAAATCGAAAAGATTTTACCTGATTAACTTGGTTACCTTTGATAAGAAGTCTTAGTTCAAGTTTAAAACCTTTGGCAAAATAAGTAGCATTTGTTTTGCTGGGGTTAATATATAAATTAAGATCAGCGCATGCATCGAAAAAGAAGTTCGCTTTCATCGAGCAGCTGAAAAAGATGAGTCCGCAGATACAATTAGGAAATCATCTGCATATTGAAAAATAGGAGTTTTGTCACCATGAAGATCATGCAAAGAAGCTGCGCATAGATTGAAGATATGTGGCGTATATAACTGCCTTGTGGGATACCACCATATATTTCAACTTTTTTAGTACCCATCACCAACACACGCTTGGATAAAAAATTAAGTATCCACAGCTGCATTTGAAGAGGAATCAAAAGGTTTAAGAGAATTCTACCAAGCTTAATCAAGTTGACACAGTCATAGGCTTTGCTGATGTCCAGGGAAAGCATTTTGCCTGCTTTTTTTAGCTAGCTACGAATTCATTAACACACATATTCGTAGATTTGCGTTTTTGATAGGCGTAAGAACGAGCTAGAATAATGTTCTCAGTTTTCAGGAAAGCAGTTAGTCTCTCCTTAACCATGAGGTTGATAGTGTTTATGAATACAGATATCAGTGAAATTGGTCTGGAGTTACTTAAATCATTTAAGTCTTTACCTGCCTTAGGAATGGGAACTATGATGCATCGCAAATCTGAGGGTATAAAGTTGATGGACCAGCAGTTGTTAATTGCATGCAAGAGAATGCTAAAGCTTCCTCCAGACAGTGCTCTCAGCATGTCATACTTGACTCCATCACAATCTGCAGCAGTAGCTCTCTTTCTGGAATGTAAAACATACATTAGCTCATGCAATGAAAAGGGTGTGTTGCTGAGACTACTAAAAGAAATTGAAGGTATTGTAATCGGATTGACACTTGGAATGTAGCTCGTGAGCATATCCAAGTATTTTTATGGTTAATCCATACAGCACAACCGCTTAATTTTTGACTAGAATGTCGATGACCATTGATATAATTCCAGAAAGAACGTGGGTTGCTGTTACCGCATAAACCTTTAATCGCGATAGCTCTATGTGTCCTTTTCGCTTTTCTAACTGCAGACATCCATTCTTTCATTGTTTTCATATATTCAATGTAGTTGGGTGGATCACGAAAGGTTTGCACATCGAGACTGGGTGGAAAGTAGCATGATGCTGTGAAGAGATTCGATTTAAGATTCATGGTTTTGATGGTGGTAATCTCAAGAGCTGAATTTTAGGAAATGCATCTGAAATTGGCACCTTCCTTAAGTAGTATATTAACACCGCCATAGCCATCATTTCGGCATTTGGTGGCTGAGACATAATTCGAAACTTTAACTTCAAACCAATTTCCATCTTTCAGAAAAACTTAACTTAAGATGCAGAAATCAACCTTGTTTGAATTTAAGTAAAAATCCAAAAACGACAGGTTAGGTCGGACACTTTGAATATTATATTGTAAAAAGGATATCATCTTAAAACTTGAGAAAGAACCCCAGCGGATTTCCTCGTAGTACTGGGTGCTTGAACGGGGCAAGAAATGGCACAGACAGACATTTTTGCTTCAAATTCTTTAATAAGGTTATGACGGATCACCAGACGGATACTTTCTTGAATCGCGAGAATTAATCTTTCAAGTTCTAAGGACCG